GGAAAACGAGATTAGGTAAAAGAGAATTTCGTAAAGCTACAGATGCAACCTCAAAATTCCCGTCAAACAACCTTATACGTGAAAACTATTATCTTGTCAAGGGTAGCTATAAGCGTTTGAAGAACTCTGCCAAAAACGAATTCTTCGCACGTATGAATGAGGACATAGAGGGGGGGAAAATTCTCAACTGGCAATCTTTCAAAAAACTAAAAAATCAGAAAAAGGAAACTTTAAATTTTGACAGTCATGATATGAATAGATTCGAGACTTTTTTTGGTAACCTATATTCCGATAACCACAAAACAATAAATGAAAATAAAAAAGTTTCTATGATTGATCAAGCTGACTTGATAAATCAAGGTGCAACTCATCCTGAGTCACTCAACTCCTTAATCACCAAAACAGAACTTGACTCTAGTATAAAATCCCTAAAAAATGGTAAAGCTTCCTCACTCGACATGATTAATAACGAAATTATAAAATCTCTGGACACCAATCATAAATTGATTATGTTGAACCTCTTCAACGCCTGCTTCTCACAAGGAATTTATCCCTGGAACGTCAGCATTATATCTCCACTTCATAAAAAGGGTAATAAATCAGATCCTGACAACTACCGTGCAGTTGCTGTCAGCAGTGTCATAGGAAAACTATTTTCAACTATTCTCTTAGAACGACTCATTCGCTTCCGCTCTGAAAACTGCCCTGATCCACCTAACCAACTAGGCTTCACAAAGAAAGCTCAAACATACGATCACATACTAACCATGAAAACTATAGCTTCAAAATATAAACTTTTGGGGAAACCTGTATATGCAGTATTTGTTGATTTTAAAAAAGCATTCGACTCAGTCTGCCGTCAAGCCCTTTTCCTCAAACTCGCAAAAAATGGCATAACTGGAAACTTCTACAATGTCCTCAAAAATATGTACTCAAACTCGTACGCTTACATAAAATTATCTGGTCACCTCAGTAAACGCTTCCAGATACGTAAAGGTACAGAACAAGGTCACCCACTCTCACCTGATCTTTTTAAAGTTTTTCTCAGTGATATGTCCTGCCTCCTAGATTTTCCAAATTGCCCCGTACTTTCAAATTTGACTGTTAGCCACCTACTGTGGGCGGATGACCTTATACTCCTTTCACTCGACCAGGAAACCACTCAAAAGCAACTTAATATTCTCGGTAATTTTTGTAAGGAGTGGGGCATTGAAATCAATGAACTCAAAACTCAAGCAGTCATCTTTGGTAAGAAAACGTTAAAACAGGACATACAAAACATCAAATTTACACTCAACGGATCTAATCTTGAAATTGTTGACAGTTATTGTTACCTTGGATTTGAACTTCATCAATCGGGTCAAGTACAGATCGCTCAACAAAACCTTAAAACCAAAGCAATGCGTGCATTTTTTGGCCTGAAAAGGGTTGTCATGCGTTCAAAGTTATCTTTTAAAGCACTCCTTACACTGTTCGACTCTCTCATCAAGCCCATTCTATTATATGGTGCTCCGATATGGACACCCACTAGTACGATCAATAAATCTCTTTGCAAAACGATTAACTCGACAGAAGCAACCGCTACTAACTTACTTAAAAAAATCAGCGCCTCTCTGCAAGAAAGAGTGCATATTTCATTCCTAAAATGGGCATTGGGAGTCCATCGTAAAGCATCAAATGTAGGTGTTTGGGGAGAAACAGGAAGAGTTCCTCTGATTTATCAATCAATTCGCTTAACGTTAAATTACTTCAAAAGGCTAAATACAAAATCAAAGTCGAATTCGTTTGTCACTGCAGCCGTAAAAGAACAAAAATCACTAAACTTACCTTGGTATCGATACATAAAACCACTCCTTGAACTAGATGAAATTTACAAACTAGATCACGTAACTGCGCACCGAATTCTCAATACAAATGCAGCTAACAAAGCCGCGCCCAACCCTGTAAGTGATCACAAATTATTAAAAGACTCCCTCATAAATCAGTCAAATTTTAGTCAATCCATCAAACCACTATGCAGCAAAAAGTATAGAATTCCTAAAATCATCGAAGCTCTAACCAATCAATTCAAAAAATGTTGGCAATATCAAAAATCTACTTCTTCTAAACTCTCATTCTATCACTCAATCAAACACACCTTCAACCGAGAGCCCTACTTATACTTATGCAAAGGCTTTTCTCGTCGTTACAGTACCACAAAACTTAGAATCAGCGCACATGATCTCCATATTGAAAGAGGCAGATACTCCAACACACCCCGTGAGCAAAGACTATGTGGTTGGTGCCAATCAAGTATGGGCGTTGAGACCATCGAAGACGAGTCGCATGTTCTTTACATTTGTGACTTGTATTCAAAACAGAGGTCGAAATTAGTCAAAAATCTTTCTCAAATGCCAATCATTGAAATAAGCAATGAAATCACCGACTCCAGCAATATCAATGAAACAAATCTCAAAGATCATCTCATGGAAATTTTGTCTCCTTACTCAACTGTAATTCCTCAAAATCACCAGAGCCTCCATATTCACTGCCACCGCTCACTTGATATTCAACCAAACACCCCACAGTATACTCAATTTCAAGAAAGGCGCTCCTATGCTGTCAACTGTGTGTGCACTTTTTTCCTTCGCTGCTCCGAAGAGCGAAATAGCTTCACCGAAGATACGCGTCAGCGTAATTCAAATGCACGAAACTTAAACAATTTTACTATCAATTTGGTGAGAACCTCGCGAATTAGTCATAATTAAGACTCAAGGATAACCCTGGCCCTGACTTCAAGCAAAGATGATTGTTTTCATTAACTTCTGTAAACAATTATGACGGTCCATGATAATGGATCTATAATTTAATTTTAATCCTGTGTAATCCTGTGTAAATCCTGTGTAATCCCAATGAACACTCTATGCACACTCCCTGCAACTTCAGTCTATGCAACGTCTATGCAACGTCTATGCAACGTCCCTGCGCAGTACCATATGAACACCGGCTACTAGCCGGCTACTAGCCGGCTAGTAGCCACTTTTGTAATAACAGCTCCTCAACTTCACATTAACAACCGGCTACTAACCGGCACTTGAAAAGTGGTCACTAGCCGGCTACTAACCGGCTACTAGCCGGCTAGTGACCACAAAGTGGCTACTAACCGGCTACTAAGCGGTCACTAGCCGGCTAGTAGCCGGTTTGGAACCGGCTACTAGTAGGTCCGCTTAAGAGCCGGCTAGTGACCGGTTAGTAGCCACTTGGTGGTTACTAGCCGGTTAGTAGCCGGTTAGTAGCCGGCTAGTGACCGCTTTCTAAGTGCCGGCTAGTAGCCGGTTTGGAACCGGCTACTAGTAGGTCTGCTTTAGAGCTCGGCTAATAGCCGGCTAGTGACCGCTTAGTAGCCGGTTAGTAGCCACTTTGTGGTCACTAGCCGGCTAGTAGCCGGTTAGTAGCCGGCTAGTGACCACTTTTCAAGTGCCGGTTAGTAGCCGGTTGGTAATGTGAAGTTGAGGAGCTGTTATTACAAAAGTGGCTACTAGCCGGCTAGTAGCCGGCTAGTAGCCGGTGTTCATATGGTACTGTGCAGGGACGTTGCATAGACGTTGCATAGACGTTGCATAGACGTTGCATAGACTGACCGTGCAGGGAGTGTGCATAGAGTGTTCATTGTGCAGGGACGTTGCATAGACGTTGCATAGACGGTTCTTTTGTTGTTGCATGGACGTTGCATAGACGTTGCATAGACTGTCCGGAGCTAAACGACCAAGTTGCCGCAACTAATTCAAAGACTGAGGAAACAGGAGGACTCTGCAACCCAGAAATCAACAACTCATTCGCTCAATAATTAGTTTGGTATCGACGTTACATACTATGTTTTCCCCGACTTAAAAAAAAAAGAAAGAAATTTATTAATCTATATAATATATATATATATTTTTCTCTTTCAAACCATTCCAGTACATTGTGCATAAAGTTCAATATTTACAATTTTGGAAGCATATGCAAGGATACCGATCTGATATCGATCGTAAATAATAAAAATACACTAGCACAATTATTGTAATATAACTGCAGTTTTACATAACTCCAAATGCATAATGAACACTTTTGCAGGTACCACCCGTATTCACACTCAAAATTGAGTTTCGTCAGTTTCCGATACGAGACTGGGACGGGTTCTATAAACAAACAAACAACAAACAGTATACCTTATTTACGGTAGATATTATGTACTTGGACAGAGTGTAAAACGTGTGTACATCACCATTTTATGTAATACATAATACCAATTAATTTAGCATTTTAACTAGAATAGAACCATTTATAATTGTATACTAACATTTATACCAATTTTAGCCTGAAGATGGTGTTGACGCCGAAAATTTGCCTACATTCTTAACTTCCTGTTTTATTTGTCCTTATCTCTTCCAACCGGATATTATCCAACTATCAATACACAGACGTGCTCAGGTAAGCAGTGAGAATTGTAAAGGATTAAATTTCAGCATTTATTCAAAACGATAATTAAAGGAGGTAATTTTCTCCGAATATCAAATTTCCTTCCATTCTCAGTGTCACATACCTACATCATGTATAAAATGAATGTCGAATGGAATATGTGAAACACCTGTAGAGCAGAGTACTAGTCACTAGTTAGATAAATTATAAATGTAATGATGAATATGTCGGAAACAATTTGAACCCTTTGAGAGAATACTCAAACATAAAACTCATCTACAAAGAACACAATGATGTGGTACTTATAAAGTAAGAGTATTTTAACAGTCACAGAGATAAGTCCGCCGGAGGTATTATTCACATGAAGACATGACAATTTATTATGTAAGCTAAGGTAAAAGGCATGTTAACCTGATACTTAACCTGATAATTGATATCCTTATAGGGAGATATCATACACCCACTGCAAACACCAATAATAACTAGAATACCAAAACTAGTTTTCAATATCGTGAATATATATCGTGACCTCGTGAGGGGTAAAAGAAGTAAGGACTAACCTGCTCATGCTCATAGAAGCGACGTTATTCCAAGAGTTCGAATAAGGGTCATACATCTCAACTGTAGACAAGTGGGATAGCCCGTCAAACCCGCCTGGGAGGTAAAATTAGTTGATTAATTGGTTAATTAATAAATATTGAACCAAATTATTTTTGATTAGCTATGTATCAGTAAATTTGATATTGTAACTTTGATTAAATTATTTTTGATTAGCTTTATATTTTTGATTAGCTTTGTATCAGTAAATTTGATATTTATAGATTTAATCTACTTTGATTAAATTATTTTTGATTAGCTTTATATTTTTGATAAGCTTTGTATCAGTAAATTTGATATTTTTAGATTTAATATATTTTGATTAAATTTAATCAATTGTGTTATTAATGCAATAGTAAAATTATTTATGATTTATGGAGGGCTAGAAGTAGAATTAAAATTTTTTTAAAAGGTTGATTTAGGATTGGGGCGAGATTTAGGATTGGGAATAGCCTTCAAATAACCGGTGCATATAATAATGGCCTGCCCCCACCCGCCTACTGCATCAGATAGAGTAAAAAAGGGCACATACCAACAGCGTAGATTTTTTTATCGAGGGATGCAGCTCCGAGTGCAAATCTGCAGGTTTGGAGTGTAGCAATGGGCTCCCAACTGTTGGTATTGTCGTGGTACACCTCACACTGACTCAATAATTTAGTGCCTGTGGGATTGGTTAGAGTAAAGGATATAACTTAAGTAACAAGATATAAGTAGAGATATAAGAAGAGATATTCAGTAAGAATGCTGATGATCATGAAGACATGAAAAATAATGCAGCTTAATAGCATCATCAGTCATTACTGACTTGTCGAATTCAATATTCATACTCAACGTCAGCTAACGTAGTCCACAAATTCATATTGCATAAAATTTACTGAACTAGTTTATATGTTTTCGAGCTTAACGCTAACAGTACAATGGCTATTCATATTCAGCAGATAATTACGGTAAGAGAATGATACATCGTCATCAACTAGTTGACTCTAAAAGGCAATCGGAATTTCAAAGCTCTAACTCAATTATTTCATGAGACGCAGGTTAAAGCCACACATTAAAATTCTAAACCTCGACTATCTAAACCTCATCTCTCTAAACCTCATCTCTCTAAACCTCATCTCTCTAAACCTCATCTCTCTAAGCATCATCTCTTTCAACCTCATCTCTCTAAACCTCATCTCTCTCAACCTCATCTCTCTAAACCTCATCTCTCTAAACCTCATCTCTCTAAACCTCATCTCTCTCAACCTCATCTCTCTAAACCTCATCTCTCTAAGCATCATCTCTCTAAACCTCATCTCTCTAAACCTCATCTCTCAACCTCATCTCTCTAAACCTCATCTCTCTAAACCTCATCTCTCTCAACCTCATCTCTCTAAACCTCATCTCTCTAAGCATCATCTCTCTAAACCTCATCTCTCTAAACCTCATCTCTCAACCTCATCTCTCTAAACCTCATCTCTCTAAACCTCATCTCTCTAAACCTCATCTCTCTAAACATCATCTATCTAAACCTCATCTCTCTAAACCTCATCTTTCTAAACCTCATCTCTCTAAACATCATCTCTCTAAACATCATCTATCTAAACTTCATCTCTCTAAACCTCATCTCTCTCAACCTCATCTCTCTAAACCTTATCTCTCTAAACCTCATCTCTCTCAACCTCATCTCTCTCAACCTCATCTCTCTAAACCTTATCTCTCTAAACCTCATCTCTCTCAACCTCGACTATCTAAACCTCATCTCTCTCAACCTAACTATCTAAACCTCATCTCTCTAAACCTCATCCCTCTCAACCTCATCTCTCTCAACATCATCTCTCTAAACCTCAACTCTCTCAACTTCATCTCTCTAAACCTCATCTCTCTAAACCTCGTCTCTCTAAACCTCATCACTCTCAACCTCATCTCTCTAAACCTCATCTCTCTAAACCTCATCTCTCTAAACCTCATCTCTCTAAACCTCATCTCTCTAAACCTCGTCTCTCTAAACCTCGTCCTCCCTCACTACTACTCACCATCATAACCCCCGACAGCGTATATCTTATCGTTAAGATTAGTAACCCCAGCTCCCCTTCTAGCTGAGATCATCCTCCCCATACTACTCCACGTGTTGGTGGACTGGTTGTAGCATTCTACTGTGTCAATTCTAAACCTCGACTATCTAAACCTCATCTCTCTAAACCTCATCTCTCTAAACTTCGTCCCCCCTCACTACTACTCACCATCATAACCCCCGACAGCGTATATCTTATCGTTAAGATTAGTAACCCCAGCTCCCCTTCTAGCTGAGATCATCCTCCCCATACTACTCCACGTGTTGGTGGACTGGTTGTAGCATTCTACTGTGTCAATTGGGGAGATACCGTCAAACCCTCCTACCTGAAACACGATATATGTCAAAATAAATAATAAATATGTTAAATATATTATATTATATTAAATAATATATTATATTAAATATGTTAAATATATCAAATAAGTTAAATTTATAGTACGCTATTAGATGCGCGATGGAAGCCACAGTAGACAATTGAATATGAGTGATACCGCGGATTCTTGACTCTTGAGGCTGTTAGTTGAGTTGCTTTCAAATGTGTGTTAATTAATTTAACCTTATTTGGTTTTTTTATAAATTTTATGAGACCAGTGGCCGTGTTTGGTTTAAACTTTTTGCTCCGATGAGGAGAGAGGTTTTAAGGAGAGCCACTGTTTAGACATGGGCACCGTATTGTGTACATTATTCAGTTATATATAACTTATATATAACTTATATATAACTTATATATACCTTATACAATATTTTTGCCGCATAGGAGTGGGGTAGCAAATGTTTCGTAATTCTACGGAGTCGTCTTTTAAACATTAAATTGATTCCTTTTTATTTTGTTATGCGAGTCGATTTACAGTGTCCTGATTTACCGTGCCCTATTTCCCAGGAAATTCTCACTTTCTCCTTTTTATAATTTTAGTATGAAAAAACCCCAAAATTTGACCAATTAAACTGTCCAAATTCCCATAGTCGGGGTTTGACTCAACTCTCAAGAAACCGCCTTAAATTTTAATAAGGAGAATAATATTATGTTTCATAGTCATTTTGGTAGTTGCAGTTCCAAATCAAAAGTTTTACTTGGAACTGAGAGACAACATAATCTCATTAGAAGCAGCTGCCCAGTAATGTTGTAAATTATCTTGGATTCCAAGACAATTACTCATCAATAATAGATATTAAGTGGTTTTATGATAACATTATAATATATTCCAGGAATTATGAAAGATTGATGCATAACTGTCTCATTACTACACATATTATGTCTGTTGTATTAATTATCTAAATTATGTTCCTGGTATTCTGTAAACCCTTATAGATTTTAATTAGCATTATTTTAATTAAATCTGTAAAGTCTCTGGACTTAGCTTCGGTCTCCGGATATCAAAGCATACCATTAAATTTCTTTGTAATCAATAATCAATCAGTTCTATTTTTAGTACTAAGATAGCTGGAACCTCGAATCACGATTAGGTTATTTTGGGAATTAAAGTTATAATCAAACGATTTACTTTACTTTATAGTTATTTCCTTTTCTTTGCAGTATTTCAAGACTGTCTTTTACTGATTAAAGATTTGTGCGCATTCCTGTTATTAATTTCACGGAAAAGTTAGTATTTTGATTTGATTTCTTTTTAAAGAGATTAAAACCTCGTACAAATCCTTAATCAGTGCTCTACATTTCCTGTTATAGATAATGAAATCATTATTTTTGTTTATTCTGAGTATATTTTTATCTTTCAATTGATTGTATTTAAATATCAGATCAATCAAATATTTAAATCTTTAAGTCTTTATGGTAATTTTTGTTGTTGATATCTATATTTTAAGCAGTAACCTTTGTAGTCAATTGGAACAAACTTTGCATGCCTTGGTTGCAGCATCGCTTCACTAAAAGGTGCACATAGGGCCCGATGTAATTGCTATGACCAGTTTACTGGTCATCTGGTGTTTCGGTGTCCTTAATTAATTTTGTTTACACTCGGTCACTTGTCAAGGCATGTACAGGTCTTTCGGCGAATTTTATATGTAATAAGATGATGTTCTTATTTGTGTAACAATTTTAAAAGTTTAATGATAAAAAATAGGTAAAAAATTGAATCACAATTAGGTTATACTGAGTCACGATTAGGTTATTTAAAAAATTGAAGTTGTAATCAATTATCAAACGATTTACTTTACTTAACAGTTATTAATCTAGGGAAAAGATCAATACCTTGAAGACCTAGAACACAAAGGCAGCACAAGCTCTTTGGTCGAAGTAATCTTACCCAACAGAACTACCATTATCCAGAGAATAATGGCAACTATCTTAGCCGCAATTAAAGTGTCCAGTGGAGTGATAGGGGTTTTGGGTACAATCTCCAACTCAGTTTCCATTTCTTACTTTATCGGAAAAATACTCAGATCAAACGTTCGTTCAGCAAACTCCGAGGGATCAAAACTGCGACTTTATATTCTGCTAAGTATCATTGATCTGCTGGTATGCGTTTTGGCTGTCGGGATCTCCATTGCAGTTGATATCCCTTCTGACCACAAGGTAGATGTCTCGATGATTCTGAATATTTTCAAGGTGTGTGTCTTTATCACAGGTTTTATCACATCATTGCTCGCTGTAATTGCAGCTGTAAACGTTGCTTCACCTCTCTACATAGTGGATCAGAAAGCAATTTATGCCTCAGTTTTAGTTTTTGGAGTGATTGTTCTCATTTTTGAGACTTGTTATAAGTTTTCCGCGTGTTCTTGTGATAGTTATACAACTGAAAATGTGGTCCTACCGAATGAATTTCTCATTTTTACTTGGATATTCCTGATGGTGATAATGTCTAACGCACTGAGTATAATGAACATTTGCCAGGCCAATTCACAGTCAGCTTTAGGAGAAATAGCAAGGCGAGAAGCTGTGACTGTAATTATGGTTTCAACACTCTTCTGTCTTTGCAATATTGGATCTTTTGTTGTCTACGGTTTAGGTATTTTCTTTAAAGATGTCTACATAAAGACTCATAAATACCATCTGGAACTCTTGTTCAACTTCCTGTTACTTCCACTGAACTCTGCATGTAATCCGGTTGTTTATTTGGCGAGAAAGACGGATATGCGAGCATATGCGACAAAAATGCGGAGGAAAATCACAAGTTGTGGAGTACATGAAGAAGTGGTTTGAGTCTGCAGCAAAGCATGAAACCGGGCAGTAAAGATAACTTGCTCTAACCCAAATTAGCCTCTGATGAACTGTAACTGGCATCAAACGATATTGAAAAACTGGCATTTAATTAATAACTATCTAAATAAATAAATAATGCATCCAAACTTTGCGGGAAGATTTGAAACAGCATACCTTGCGGAATGAGTACATGTGTACATTAATATACATTTCGTGAGAGCTTTTACGGATTGAATTTATGATTTTGGTGATGGGTTGCAAATAATTTCAATTAATAAATGTGTGCTTACATTTTTATAAGCAACTTAAACACCGAAAAAAGATTGTTTTACTGCTCGATAAAAGCAAGTAAGCTAGAATCTATAGATTCCCACTTGTTACTACCCTTGACCCCTAATTATAATAGAAAAGAGTTAAAGTCGTATTTGAAAGTTTTAACTTTAAGAGAGTTAATTATTCAATTAAGTTACTCGTATATCAAAGTTACTAATAAAAGCCTCCTTAAAGTTTATTTGGGTTAGAAACGACATCTGGGTCCCTACCCTTAAGATTATTCTGAATTTTGTTGTTGTGTTCCACAACTAAGATACTCGTATATCATATACTAATATCACGGCCAGGTAGCACAGTTGGTTAAAAATAAGGGTTAAATGAGGAGCTGCACATTGCAGCAAAGTCTCGGGCGAAGAAAGTATGGTACACACTACCTTAACCGTCACTGGCCAAATAAGTCCTTCGGCTTCCTGTTATAATTGGCTGGTTGCACTTGTGTAACAATGTGGCTGTTGGAATACACCGAAGTAAAATAAGTGTCTTGATTTAAAAAAAAGTTACTTTAATATACTATATATATACTATAATAAATGTAATAGATTTGTAGTGTTGTAATTAGTTTAAAACTCACAGCGTAGACTGAGTATTATGATTGATTTTATCTGACTAATTTATTTCTTTTTTGTAGGCTCTAGCGATGTATTAAACGAAGTTTCCAAGCCAAATTTGTGTGTTTCCCTTCGTGTCCAAATCAATCAAAGTTACTTTAATATACTCACAGCGTAGAGTGTCCCCCTAAGAACAGTAACTCCCACCAGACTTCTACTCTTCTTCAGAGGACCTGCCTCGTACCACTTGTCCAGCGTGGGGTTGTAGTACTCTACTTTGTTTATAGCATCTGTCATGTTAACGTTACACGCGCCCCCTGTGCAAATACGTGAGGTTTTAGTTGAGATGAGAATTTAGTGATCAAATATTAAATATGTGTTTTCGAGGGATACAATAGTTTAGAAGACGATCTTAGAAGACGATCCTAGATCTGAGGGGATAGCACAGGAAAATTAATTAGTTTATTAGAAAAGTAAGTTCACTGAAAACCTACCAACAACGAACATAGCGTTACCACAACCCCTAACAAACTCTCCCTGTCTCTTCTGATCAACATCCCCCGTCAGGTGATCCCTCTTGGTCACGTGATCCCTTACTGACAGATGATCTCGTTTTGTCCCCCCGTTATCTCGCAGTGTCCTGATAGGAATTAAACAGGAATTAAACATTAATTTGTCAGAGGGAGCACTAACGTTACCGTATAGACTATACAAGGATGGTAGCAAAGTGTTAATGAGTGAAAATTTAAAAAACTCGAAATTCCAAAACGAACTCCATAAAATTTAACACCAATTCAATATCTAGATATAGGAACAAGACCTGAGGTGATCTCTGGAGCTGTGAGAGTCGGAGGTATGCACTGCACTGGTTACTTCACCAACTGTTACTGGGATTTTACTGGGTGTTTTCCGTTTAAAGGCGGATCCTGAAACGGTGTGGATGTTACTTTAGTTAGTTACTTTAGTTATAAAACTAGTTTAAGTCACCAATGCACAATCTGAAGTTTGTGAACCTCAACTAAGCCTTTCACTTGTTATATGGTTAAGTTATAATGGATATTGGATAACCTTGTACCTGCTTGATCTATCAAAACAACTAGATCGGCAACCATCACTAGACAGAGATTTGTTCAATTTTGGTTAAATCCGAGTGCGTAGCGGAATGAATGTATTATGTACAAAATTGAGTCCATTCTCAGACCAAAGAAAGGATGCGGAATGTCCATTATTCATGGATAATAAACACAACGTGATAAAGATTCCAAAAAATTCCAAGAAAGCTTCAAAAACAATAGTTATTCACTAATAATATGTACATTGTAGTTACCATTATCGAGAGTTATTTTTGGGGGAGCTCTGGGTGATGAAATGTGACTGTTGTTCCGCTTCCTAGTGGGCGGACTGCAGTTCCTTCGTTTAGGTAGAACAGCTACTGGCTGGATTATTGTGGGTTCTGTCCCCAGTACGCTGTCTAGTGTTACCTGTTATGTTTTGAGATGAGAGATAAGAGATAAGAGATAAGAGATAAGAGATAAGAGATAAGAGATAAGGGATAAGAGATAAGAGATAAGAGATAAGAGATAAGAGATAAGAGATAAGAGATAAGAGATAAGAGATAAGAGATAAGAGATAAGGGATAAGAGATAAGAGATATGAACCAACCTTCCTAATTAGCTTGGGTAATCGATTGGATTGAAAAACAAAACGAAAATCCAACTTAGGGAATGTTCTGAAGCTAGTCCTTTATATAATTATATAAAGTACCTTTGAGACATCTTCTGAGAGAAGTTTGAGTTTAGCAACCGTTAAAAGAACCGCTTCCTTCGTCTCTGGGCAGTCGTTAACCATCACGTTGTGGGTTAAACTTGTCATTATGAAGGGGGCGGGCAACATGTCCAGCTTTATCTGTAGAAATACATAGTGGAATCGTTAAAGATAAATTGTAAACAATTTGAATTCTTGTTAAACTATTCAGTAGCAGAGTAAAACGCAGTTATAGTAAGTTGGCAGTATGGTCATTAATCCTTGTCATAAAGAAATATGTTAAATATGTAAGAAATATGTTAACATAATTGAACAGTATTAAATAACGTATTAAAAAGAAGAATATTTCAGACGTACCAGTTTAAACAGATCTTTGAAGAAGTGTTTTCTAGCGTCTAGATCATGATGTATCCAACAAAACAAGGCAATAGCCACAACCTGAAAATTAATCAAATTAATAAAATTAAAGTCAATATATGGTAGTCAATAGTAACTCTTAAGAAGTTATCAATTGAGCAATGGAGCAAATTTGAGCAAGATGAAGATCGAGCCCGATTAAGTTGTAGTTTTATTTAATTTTCACTTTAAATCAATTAAATTAACTCATTGCTCCAGTTGGATTATTGAACAAAATCGGCCTACCGACAGTTGCGCCTATTTTCCACACCTTAACAGGCCATTAACAGTTCCCAATCAGTGACGTGATCTGATTCATCATGTCAGATTCTCAAAACGACAGTTTCGCCCAAGGATACATAATCAATAATCATGCGATCACTAGTCATGATTATCACACTTTACAAGTCGATGGTTCGTAGTCTGCTGGATCATTGTTGCCCGCTTTGGCACCCCTCCAAGATAAGTGATATCTAGGAGCTTGAAAGCGTACAGAAAGCTTTCACCGCGCGGATAACTGGAATACGTGATCTTCATTATTGGGACCTTCTTCAACGGCTATCTCTGATGTCTCTACAGCGTCGCAGGGATCAGTTTATTCTACTTCATATGTGGACGATTCTCCATCACCATACCAGCAACGACATTAACGTGCAGTTTGTCTCCAGGCAATGTTTTTGAAACCTTGCAGTCATTTCATCTGTATGCAGACACAGCTCAGCAGCAAACCAGTCACTGTATGATAATTCATTTCCAGTCATATCCCGTGGAATGCAATGCCTTACCATCTGAATTGCATCGGCGACCGAGGGCATTTTAAATGATGGCCCTGTTAAAGCTTAACGAATCTCAACATAGATGACATTGGTAGGTAACATTTAACTTTCTCATCCTCGATTGCAATCCAATTATTGCGCTCGAAAAACAATGAAAACGGTGCAAAATTGCCATAATATTGATAACTTGTGAACCAATTAGTACACATAAAAACATATATTAAAATCAAATCGACGAGCAAAAAGCACTGAGTCGATATATGAACCGTGAACGTCTTACACAGAAATAAAATATAAATGATATGTAAATACAAGCAGAGGTTGATATGTGTAGCATAAAATTTCGATCAACATGTTTTTCCGTTTCCAGCAAATTATACTGATCACGATAGAATTTGAGTCATCAGAGTTTAACTTAACAGATTCTGACTCGTTTTCAACTTTAAGCAAATGATTTTAAGAAGAGAAATTCACACATTTCCCTTCACAGAATCCTTTGAATCTTGAAAGAACAGAGTTCAACCCAACAGATTTCGACCCAACAGAGTTCGACTCAACAGAATTAGACTCAACAGAGTTCAACCCAACAAAGTTCAACCCAACAGAGTTCAACCCAACAGAGTTCGACTCAACGAGTTCAACCCAACAGAGTTCAACCCAACAGAGTTCGACTCAACAGAGTTCAACCCAACAGAGTTCGACCCAACAGAGTTCGACTCAACAGAGTTCAACCCAACAGAGTACGACTCAATAGAGTTCGACTCAACAGAGTTCGCCTCAATATACTTTAATTTAGTAGACAGTCTTTGTAAGCAAATAGCTTCATTCGCCTCTTCTCCCCCGACCTCCAGAGGAGGATCCACCTCAACATGGCTCCTGTTGATGACGTCATAGCCCTGATTAACGACCTCAGAGTCTCCAGTCACAGAAAGAGAACCTCTACCACCCTGCAAGCCAGCAAGATAAGTAATCACCGTGCTGGCTTTCCTAGAGACCCCATAAGAAACATGGATGAATTTAGCATAGTAAACAGGCATCCTGAGTAGGTACAGACATGGGTTGATAGCAGCATTGAGGACCACAGGGAAGTAGACAAGCATCAGATCTCCGTACCAAGCTAGCTTTTCATGGATTATAGCTACTAGTTTGCTTGCAGTATCAGGAAAATACCTTGCTAGCAAATGCAGGGTGTAGTAGAGGAATACAGGAATGTTGCAAAGCAGGAATATGGCTGCGAAGAGGGTGATGGTGATGGACACTTGACGGAATCTTCTCTGTATATGATCAATATTGTTGTTGGATGTGTTCAGACGGTTCCTGTTCCTTTTTAGCGCAATTAAGGAGACAGTGAAAGTGATGAAGACAATAAGTATTGGTAGGAGTATCTCAATCTCTATGGCAACACGATAAAGTGTAAGAGCCAAGAAATTTTCTTGGTCGCCTTTAGTGGCTGCACAAGCCGCAATCATCACTATATACTTAGGCTGAATCCACCCAAAAGCCAAGTAACTCACATCGGTGAATAGGAGTAGGAAACCATAACCAACAACCACTAAAGACACAGCAAAGGTGGTGAATCCCTGCAGGTTGTGTGGGCTTGCAATGGCAACAGCTCTGGTCACACTCAGTAAAGCAACCAGAAACATGGAGAATTTTATCAAAAAGTTGGCAGCTGAGATGTGGATGGCACAGAGAGTGGAGCCACTAAACATCATGGGTTCTCGGTCGTTGAGGAGGGATGCTATCACGGGAATTGTTGACAGTCCAGTTGAAATATCCACGAATACGATCAGAATGTAGAGTTTGAAGTGATAGATTTGCGTCGGATGGGCCAGAAGTAGGAGAGAGCAGCCATGTTTCCCAGAACTGCAACCAATAGCATTCCTGTAAGAAGGAGTCCTATGCACTGATCTGCAGTGTTATTGCGGTTAACTGTAAGGGCAGGTTTTATTGAATTCTGTTCAGTTAACAGCAGGGGAAGGAGCGGAGTGGTAAGGTGCATCTTGAGAGGCTGTGAACAGGCTAGTCTTTGAAGAGTCTGTGAATAGTCTGTGAAGAGATCGTGAAGAGTCTGTGAAGAGTTTTCACGTTATATAACACAGCCACAGGATCAAGGAGTTCAATATTATGAGATGTACAGGGGGGATACTCTGACAATACCCAACTAAGCACTAAGCAGTTGTGTTATCCATTACATTTGAGTTTTCTGGATGGTAAAATCTGGTCTTTCAATTGGTAATGGTTGAGAACGAGACAATCTTATTCCAAGAAACGATCTTCTATGAATTTCCCGAATAAGATCAAATAGATAGTCTTCAATAGGTTGAGAAAGAGACCCCCTAACTCTAAGAAACAATCTTTCATAAAGTTTGCGAGTACGAGCGGAGAGATAGTCTTTACCGGAACCCTCTGTAGCCTGTAATCGCTCATTTGCCCACACAAGATTTGCATGGTTCGTCTGGAATTATCCGTGGCACTACACTAATTATTCAAATTTAAAACCTTTTATGATTCTATCTTAATGACCGTACGTTTCAATTTTAATGATATTGTGGTTTAAATTCAATAGACCAACTAATCCAATATACTTTGCTTCATAATTTACTTGTATTTAAGGCTAATTGTAAGTTCTAATTCTAGATGCTTGATTGATGATCAGGGAATCACGTTCGCCTGGAGGAAACCACGTATGTTTGGTAGACAACTCACGTTTCCTATTGTCATGTTAAGACATGCTGGACAAATAATCAACTATTTACTGGAAGCCAGGTCCATGTTTCTGATGGATCTTTTTCATTATATCACTAATAAGACCGAAACTTTCAAGAACTAACGATTTCAAAATCTAGTTTCCACTTCTTAACTCTGGTATTGCGGAACGATTCCCTAACGAAAAGTCATAAAATTTACGAAATAGAAATATAATAGGGATTTAGCCCATAAGGAAACAGTTAGTTTTGTGAAATGTATTCCAACCACTCATTTCCGTGTGCTACATTAACATTGAACACGTGATATGGTATATCTTATCTATATATTGAATTCTTGTGCACGTGAGCCAACATCCCCCTTTTGTTCTGGTCCAGAGCATTAGCCAGGCAGCTTCCCGGTAATTCGAGCGGCTGGGTGGGTCCTGGGCGGGATTGGTGTGGGTTCGTGCTCCTCGTGGTATGGTCTGAGATCTGGGGGTTGGCACGGGGGTGCGGCGGGGATGGGTGAGTGGTGCTGGCTGGAGGGACGGTTACTATTCATACCGACCAGCTTAAGCAAGTAAAGTTGTTTGCAGTCGGGACGGATGGGAACTTTGAATCGACAGTTAGCATTGCGATCCTGGCTCTTGTCAAACTCTCGGGCCTTGGACCCGTTTCTCGGGGCTAGCACGGGGAGTTTGGGCTCCCGCCTCTCGTCTGGGGCCTCCTGGACGCTTTAGAATTGCTGGGATTATAAGTACGGCGGCGGAGTCAGTCCTGAGCACCATAGCATTCGTGAAGACTCCGCCCACTTACTCTGATTTATCTGACTGTAATTCCTTTCAACCCACTTCTTGTTCGTGTCTTTCATTCTTGGATTGATTGGAACTGCAGCCTGGAGTCGGTTAAGTGACCTTGACGTGGTAAGGGGGCTTACTCGGCTTCACTCGACCTGCCGAAACTAAGCCGTACTGTCCAGCTGGGCATCACTGGACATAAGTCGCACGTGCACTTCTTTTGGCTATTTAACTCACCTGATCCTTCCTCCCTGAGCACTCACAGCTTTCATTCACATTGAGCTATAGGGTTTTTGAAGTTTAGGTGTGCGCTTCAGGTCGGGCCTTAATGCGATCATTAGCACCCATTTTCCCTGTTTTATTGGGCGGCATTTCAACACTGTCGTCGTAGTATTTCTCAGCATCTTTCTACGATTCGCAGAAAGTGTTAAAACTCACGATACACCCTCACTGATCAACCATTTGCTTTATAGATCGTGGGATAGAGTGTGCTTCGGCAAACACGAATGTATGTGCACGGACTCTTGGGTCTGACTCATGCACTTTGTGCACCGTCCACGAACCCTATAAAGTAATATACTGTAACAACACAAAAACCAACCTTTACTACCAACAGTGGTGCCAACTGGAGGGACGGTCACTATCCATAACGACCAGCTAAAGCAAGTAAAGTTGTTTGCAGTCGGGCCGGATGGGGACTTTGAATCGACAGTTGGCATTGCGATCAGACCAACAACTACTTTCAACCGACACTTTTGACTCTCGGCAAGTCTCAATGGTCCAACCGACATACGACATTATTGTGTTAAAAGCTAAAAAAATCATATCTTCGCGCGGGTGCGCGCACCCACGTGAGAACATATGGTCACAAACAAAAGATAACAACAAACACAATTTCACACACAAACGTCTATTGAGCGGACTGTGGGAGCCATGTTCAGGGAAGGTCTGGCGGGGGCTGTTTGTCTGGAAGGGACCATGCGTACCTTCTGGAGGGCCAGCTGCTGCTACCCGACCCTGTCCAACTCCTCAGCGCCCCACCGGCAATGATAGGTCATAATACCTGTCTAGGGGGAGGGACGGCTTCCACTCCGCTCAATGACGCTCAAACTAGCACAAAAAAGAAGAGACGCCAAAAAAAGTTAAAAACTACTATTGCAGCACGCAATAAGCAGTCTGAAACTTACTCTGTCACCCAAATTAATCTCAAACGCAAGTTCAATGCATGGAAAACCCTCCTTATCAACACTCACGGCCGGAGAAATCCAATCATTCTTGCAACAGAACCGTACTCTAATAACAAAAACCTAATACCACCCATCAATAAGGATCTCACCCAATATTACTACAAGGTCGGGGATAAAAGACCCCGTGCCGCTATTGTACTGCACAAAAACCTGACAGTAAAATGTTGGGAACTTACACAATTCACAACACCCGATCAAGTGGCCATTAAAATCCAACTCAGCTCGACAGAACTCATTCTGGCAGCTTCATACATGGATATAAATGGGCCGGTACCGCCACAAGAAACATCACCTCTAGCAAAATACGCAAATGATAACAACATCCCGCTCATTATAGGGTCGGACACCAATTCCCACCACACCCTTTGGGGGAACAAGGCATGCAATAAAAGGGGAGAGGAGCTTCTTGACTTTCTCTCCTCCCTAGGGCTGTCATGTGCCAACAAAGGATCATCCCCAACCTTCCTCAACTCTCGAGGCCACAACTCAATTATCGATCTCACAATAACAAACCAGTTGGGAGGAGGTCTCATTAGTAACTGGCATGTTAGTGACCTTTACTCCAACTCTGACCATCGCTATATTATGTTCGATATAACTACAGGGCCAAAGAAGGAACCCAAACAGATCCGACTAGTCAAAAACACTGACTGGACAGATTTGATGAGATCCTATCGAATAACCCCAACCTTAACAACACACAAATCAACACTACGACTGAAATTGATCACAAAATAGACATAATCAATACTGCACTAAAGGAAGCCTTCGAGGAGGCATGCCCCATTACTTACATCTCAAGTTCCGTCCGCAAACCCCCCTGGCTAACTCAAGAAGTAGAGGAAGCACAGAGGGGAATAAGACAAAAACTGATTACTGCCCGCAAAAAGAAGACTGATGCCCTGTGGCTCGCTCTTAGAGAGAGCAACAAACAATACAACAGACTTATAACCAACTCCCAGCGTAATGCCTGGAGAACTTTTTGTCAGGAAACAGAGTCTGTTAAGGAATCCGGAAGGATGAATAAGATTCTGAAATCCTGTAACGACAACAAACATACACTAGAAGCCGTTTACAAACCAAACGGAGACATCACCAAAAATGCAGAGGAGACATTGGAGGTCATGACACGAACCCACTTCAAGGATAGTGTCACTGATCCGCCAGTGCCTCCACCTGGTCCTCTACCAATCACCACCACCTTACTCAATACCATCTACAGCCCAGACAGAATCGAGGAGGCTCTTAAATCCTTCGATCCGTTGAAAGCTGCTGGACCCGACACCCTCAAACCTATCATCATACAGAAAGCTTGGACACACATCAAAGACATCACCAGAACCATTATGACAAAAAATCATGAAACCCAACACATTCCAACTTTGTGGAAAGAATCCCTTGGAATCTTTCTCCCAAAGCCTGGAAAAACTGACTACAACCAACCAAAGTCATTTCGCACTATCACCCTTTCTCCAGTGATGTTAAAACTACAGGAGAAGGTGATACTGTGGCATATGCAACACGACCTTAATATCGCTAAAGACATCAACAAACGACAATTTGGCTTTAAGAAAGGATGTTCAACCGAAGCAGCCCTTCATAAAGTTACTCACACCATCGAGCGCAGGATAGCTAAGAAGGGATATGTCCTAGGCGTCTTTCTAGATATAGAGGGAGCTTTTGATAATGTCTCTTTCAAGGCTATTTCTGACGCTATCAAGACCACGAAAGTGGATCTGGCCACAGCACAATGGATTATCAACATGGTAACTAACAGATTCATCACATTAAATCATAAGGATAAGTCGACAAGGGTTCGGATCCGGAGAGGGTGCCCTCAAGGTGGCATCCTTTCCCCTTTCCTCTGGAACCTGGTAGTCGATGATCTCCTGGCCTACACCGCAAGAGACATACCAGGTTATCTGCAAGCTTTTGCAGACGATCTGCTCTCTCTAGCGGAGGGGAATGATTTAGACATCATCTGGAACAGAACACGCAAAACCATCAACACAATAGAAAAATGGTGCCAAACCAAAGATCTATCCATAAGCGCACTCAAAACACAAATAGTCATGTTTACCTGGAATAAGAAATGGACACTAAGACCTGTGGTGGTGGGTAACACCACTATAGGTCTATCCAAATCTGCCAAATTCCTAGGAGTGACCCTCGACAGCAAGCTCAATTTCAATGAACATATCACCAATACCACCAAAAAAGCTACGGCATCCCTTATGCAATGTAGAAGAGCTGTCGGCCCCACTTGGGGTATGAGCCCTAAAACATGCAAATGGATGTACACCGCTGTCATCAGACCTATTCTATCATACTGCTGTAGTATATGGATTAGAGCAACCCAAACAGACACCAACGCGAGGAAGTTCAAACGAGTTCAGGCATTGGCATTGAGAATGATGTCTGGTGCCATGCCTAGTACTCCCTTCATCGCACTGAACCACCTCACTAACACTCCAGATATCATACTTTTCCTGAGAGGTGAAGCAAAGGGCACAGCCAGGCTTCAAGCTTATGGAAGCCTAACCCTCGAAACTATCGCCCCCAGAAAAGGTACCATCACAACTCACACCACTATCAACAAACAATTCATGGTAGATCTCAACATACCACCCAAAGCAGAGAGAGACCTATCTATACCAACCATGATGCTTGAACGACGCTTCACGGTCACCACTCCTGGAGCTGACAACATTGGATATAGAGGCTCACTCCAAAACACCATCGACAACATCCCCAGTGAAACCATCACCTGCTACACAGACGGGTCACGCACAGACTCAGGTAGCGGGGCTGGTTATATTATCACCACAGACAACAACAACACTACACTAGATGAAAGATCATTCAAGCTTCCCGATTATTGCACCGTTTATCAAACAGAACTCACTGCCATCATCGAAGCTTGTAAATATCTATCAACTTATACAAACACACACATCATCATATGGTCAGACAGTCTCTCCTCTATTCAAGCCATATCCTCACCTTCAACGAGGAGTAGGACTACTAGAGACTGTTACGACACCCTCAATACACTCGGATCCACTAACACCTTAGAGATCAGATGGATAGCTGCACACATTGGATTGTGGGGTAATGAAAAAGCAGACGAGCTGGCCAAAAATGGTACAACCAGTGAATCCACTTTGAATTGCCCAATTCCACAATCTTACATCAAACGCCTGATCAACGACAAAGTCACAAAACTTAATCAAGAATCATGGATTACTGATGGTCCCAGACACACTAAACTGACACTTGGACATAAAAACATCAACATCATCAAAAATCTCAACACTACACTCAGTAACAACAGACAAAATTATAGAACTGCAGTGCACCTCATCACGGGACATTGTGGCCTCAACAAACATCTACACACCATTCGCAAATCAGACACAAGTGCTTGTCCTAAATGCGGCGACGAAGAGGAGACTGTCTCACACTTTCTCGGACAGTGCCCGGCTATTGCCCAAATAAGAGGTCAATATTTCCGGGACTACTACCTCTCTGTCAATGACATATTCGACAACCAACACATCTCCACCATTGTCAACTTTACAAACCACACTAAACGCTTAGTGGTGCCAGAGGAGTTGGACCAGACAGGTGTAACATAGCGACTACTTTAACGCCGTCTTATTTCGCCTCTCTCTTCCACACTCAACCACCACTTAAGCGTTTATCTATGACACACCCCACAACACTTACCATCATCCTTGATTACACATCTTGATTCCACTGGCATCCTCCCACAGGACTGCCATACCCCAGAGGTAGGCAAAGCATTCATATGCTATCCTCTCGTGGGCCAACCAGGCCCAGCCTCTCTAAAAAAAAAAAAAAAAAAAAAAAAAAAAAATAATAATAAAGTATGTATATATAATATAATATATTATATATAACATATTATCCATAGACACAGTGTTTCGTCCTATTAGGACTCATCAGTATGGCTCAAATTATCAGGGTTGGTTTTACCGATGGCGGGTATCGATCCAGCAACCTTGCGATTACTATATAATATATTATATAATATATTAATATATATATATATATAATATATTATATATAATATTATGTAGTTCACTGACTTGTTCGTTTCTGAAAGGGTACTTCTGAAGGTTTATTATCTCACACACTTGGTTGTACGACAACATGAAGAACTCCTCACTTTTCGCTACGTCTGTAAAGTTACGGGCAATAAAGTCCTCCGATTTCTGGACCAAGTCTGAACAGTCCTGCGGAGGAGGATTAGTGGTTACTGTGGTTATTGCTGTTATTGTTGTTATTGTTGTTATTGTTGTTATTGTTGTTATTGTGGTTACCGTGGTTACTGTGGTTATTGTTGTTATTGTGGTTACCGTGGTTACTGTGGTTACTGTTGTTATTGTGGTTATTGTTGTTACTATGGCTATTGTAGTTACTGGGGTTACTGTGGTTACTGTGGTTACTGTGGTTACTGTGGTTATTGTGATTATTGCTGTTGTTATTGTTGTTATTGTTGTTATTGTTGTTATTGTTGTTATTGTTGTTATTGTTGTTATTGTTGTTATTGTTGTTATTGTTGTTATTGTTGTTATTGTTGTTATTGTTGTTATTGTTGTTATTGTGGTTATTGTGGTTACCGTGGTTACCGTGGTTATTGTGGTTACTGCAGTTACTGTAGTTACTGTGGTTACTATGGTTACTATGGTTACTGTTGTTACTATGGCTATTGTAGTTACTGGGGTTACTGTGGTTACTGTGGTTACTGTGGTTACTGTGGTTACTATGAAAACAGTATTCACGATTGAGATGTTATATTACAACCAGATAATATCATGATACCGAATATTCAAACTAAAATCACTCTTAACAAACTGTTCCAATTACCTCCAGCAACGCAAAGTAGCGTATCCCCACAGTGTTGCTGGCACTAAAGTGACGGTGAAGGAAATCACAGCAAGCATCCCGGACAGGAAGAAACTTTAGTGAACCTGGGAGTGGATAACATGTTCAGATAACATATTTTATGATTTATTAATTCGTAATTACATTTCTTCAGTACGTTACAGAAGGAATTGATTTAATGTAGTCCGAGGAGTTCTAACTCTCCTCACGTCCTAGTAAGCTTCCTAGTAAGATGGCATTTTTCCTGTCTCATATAATACTATAATATGTCAAAGGGACAGCTAATCAGAATCTGTACTGGTGGAAATATTTGAGGAAAGTTTAACAATAATAAGAGGATACCTTAAATTTGGTAGGTATGCGTGCTATGATTTAAAAAAACAGTTTTATTGTACACTTACTGGCTGCGCTCAGAAGGTCCTTCACGTTTTCTTTACCCACTGCAATATTACCAGTGTATGCAAACTCTATCAGCTGCACCACTATTGTCTCGGATATACCCTGTAAATTGTAATTATTATCGAACTTTAAAACAAACCCAAAGTAGTTAAAGAAAACTATCAGGGCACCAAAATTGTAAAGTGTAAGTAATAAGTATATAAACCACATGGTTTAGCAGGTCCTAACTAAAAACGATAGATATGGACAATGCGCTCATTGTGCACCATTCGATCTGTAAATTGTAAAGTGTAAGTATATAAACCACACGGTTTAGCAGGTCCTAACTAAAAACGATAGATATGGACAATGCGCTCATTGTGCACCATTCGATCTGTAAATTGTAAAGTGTAAGTATATAAACCACATGGTTTAGCAGGTCCTAACTAAAAACGATAGATATGGACAATGCGCTCATTGTGCACCATTCGCTCTGTAAATTGTAAAGTGTAAGTATATAAACCACACGGTTTAGCAGGTCCTAACTAAAAACGATAGATATGGACAATGCGCTCATTGTGCACCATTCGATCTGTAAATTGTAAAGTGTAAGTATACAAACCACGTAAGTATACAAACAACGTGTATAGGTATGAATCACTTGGTTTAAAATAAACTCAATTCTTAATTTAGTTTATTTAATTTAAGTTTATTTAATTTAAGTTTATTCAATTTAAGTTTATTTAATTTAATTTAGGTTATTTAATGAAATCGATAGTTGTAACTTGCAGTACTCTGATCGCTTAAGTTCACTGTTTTCTACGATTCGCACAAAATAAAATAGCACAACCCGTTGCCTCATTTTAAAATTATAAAATATTTAATATTTTAATAATAAAATATTAAAATAAATTAATAAATTAATTTAATATTTTACTCACGGATATAGTAACAGATGCACTCTGATTCTCCGCTTGTTTACTCTCGAACATAGCACGAAAGAAGGTGGAGCTAGCAGCTAGCACTGACTTGTGGGCCAGTATCTCCTGTAATTGTAAATAGTAAAGCTCCGCCAGTTGCTAATCTAGCTAGGCACACTTGGGGCACACCAGCTGGGACACACAATTGTAATTCCTGGGGCAAAAATGTTTAAAAAATGTGATTATAAATTTAATATAAAATATCCGCACTCACAGCATCATTAACAATAAGCACCACATTGCAAAACTTCTTTATCTTCCTCAAATCGTTCATAATCTCAAGTATCTGTTTGGCGTAGTCCTGGGCCATGTACGATATATCGTTGTTGGGTGCCCCCCGCGGTTCTGTCAGCCCTGGTGGCTCTGATTTCAGGACCTGTGTAATTATTACGTGACGTGTGAATTATACAGTTTCGTTTTTTTCACGTGATGTATAAATTAAAGGATTTTGTTGTGTCACTTGGCTTTCAAATAAAGCGTAAATTAGCAACTAGCTAACCATCATCAGCTTGAAAGTTTCGATACAAATTTGTCAGTTTTATAGCGAGCAAAACACCACCCACCGATTTCTCGAAGACGAGAGGGAAAGGATCATCTAACACTTTATCACGTGACAGATCAATAGTGGGAGGTTTGGAGCTTCTCTGTAGGGGTAGAGTCTTCTTTACTTTTTTACCTTCCATTTGTATAGGCATTTTGCCGCTAAACAGAGCGATATTTTAAGTTATCATTAATTAATTGGTGAGTATGGTATTTCTAACTACAACTAGTTGGTCCTTCCAAAAAATCCTACATACACTCACTCGAGTGATGGCTCAAGTCATTTCAAAGTTTATCAAATCAAGTGCTCTGGGATATGCAGCCTGGTTAAATAAGTAAATCACATTACATAGCACTACCAAAAAGAGATAACGAAAAATAAAAGGGTTTACAATAAATCGGAACATTTGAGAGCGGAGCTCCAGTGGATCTCTAGCCATCCCAACTCATGCGTAAGCACGGAAACGTGTTGGTAGTACTGCTTTCTATTTATTCAATTAGATCTACCATGATAATCAATAATAATGCCCTTAACACTACCTCACTTAGTACTGCTGCTATGAGAAACACTGACTATTGCGTAACTTCGGAAAACATACATATTATATAAAATGTAATATAGTTCAAAACTGCATAGGCAAATATGGACTAATATCGAATCGACAAACTTGAAACATTGCAAGGGAAACCATGTAAACCATCAACTATTCCCTCGGGAAACCACGCTGAAACAATTGGAAACCTTCAAAAGATATACACTCTCATAATAACTGTTTAAAAGAAGGCCTCCTGATATATTTTCTCACAAATAAGTTCTGGAGATTATAGATGTGGGTTCTCTTGGGGGAAGTGAGGTATATATCGACACGTGACAGCAGTTAGCCAATCAGGATCCACTATTAACCAATCAAACCCAATAATCACTGTCACGTGTCTTATACTATACATTTTACAAGTAGAGTCGCCAGACGGAGCTTTACAGGCACGTACTTATTCACTAGATTCATTAGCTTATAATTCAGCTAATAATTGTCATGGATTTTAGAAGTGCCGACAGAAGCTCGCCAATACCTTACAATTTTATTATAACCTGCATCGTGTCTGGCGTCAAATATCGAATAACTAGAATATCAAAAATCCAGCCGCTCGCGTCAATAAATAAAGCTTAATTTTCTATAGTTGAAGAACTGTTCCATTAGAAAATTAATACTGTTACAGGGCGCAGGCCTTTCGTGTTACAATCATGTAGTTTCTTACTGCAGCCTGTTTCCAATAGCGAGAATGCACCCGTTTTACAATCACCAAAGCAACAAACCGTGAAACCAATTAACAAATAAAGGATTGAATAAGTACACACTTAGTCGCGAGTACACAGCACACAAAGCCCTCACTAATCTGATATTACAGCCCACTGACTTGTCAACAAAGCTAAAAACAGTCCGCCGCGGGGAGAGAACACCGTTACACTATATACAGTTAGCAAGTAGTGTCAAGTTACTCGGCCAGTATTGTGTTTCACGCTAGAGTAGTGTTACCCTGCTGGAATATGCTGGGCGAAATTCCTGTTTCAGGGCATATATGCTGCTTGAATATGCTGGGCGAAATTCCTGTTTCAGGGCATGTATGCTGCTGGAATATGCTGGGCGAATTGCCTGTTTCAGGGCCTATATGCTGCTGGAATATGCTGGGCGAAATGCCTGTTTCAGGGCCTATATGCTGCTGGAATATGCTGGGCGAAATTCCTGTTTCAGGGCCTATATGCTGCTGGAATATGCTGGGCGAAATTCCTGTTTCAGGGCCTATATGCTGCTGGAATATGCTGGGCGAAATTCCTGTCTCAGGGCCTATATGCTGCTGGAATATGCTGGGCGAAATGCCTGTTTCAGGGCCTATATGCTGCTGTTAGAGTAGTGTTACCCGACTGGAATATGTTGGGCACTCAATTAAATTAGGCAGGTTATTAAATTTCTAGGGTATCGCCAGGAGTGTCTAGGGGATTCAAGTACTCTAGTTCGACACGTACCGAAGTTCGACAGAGGTGATTTCAATTCTGGCGAACTTAAGTTTTCGAACTAGAGTCTAGAGTACCGGCTTAGGGCACTTACATATCCACAGTATCGCAGGCATAGAGAAAGGTTTTTTTAAAAACAGGTCATGTTTTTGTTCGTTTGAGGGAGAATGTTCAGTTGTAAAGGTTACTGAGGAGAGGCTAAATAGTAAAAGTTAAGGTATTTATCTGTGTAAATTGTTATGTACACGTTTGAACAGTTATAATGCATTCTCACCAGGTGGTTAAAGGAGTATGTTAGGGAGAAAAATGAAATAATTGAATGCAAACCGTTTATAATATAAAATAAGGAGCTTAAAAATCGTAGTCAAATTTCACCTCTTAAAGTGGATCTATGAAATTATCAGCAGATCATAGATTGAATCTGAAGTGAGTCTAATTTTGCATGTTAAAGTTAAAAGCAGTGAATATATGAGGTTAGCTGATCTCGTGAGCTGAAGCAGCTTAACTGCAGCTTAACTGCAGCTTAACTGCAGCTTAACTGCAGCTTTACTGCAGCTTAACTGCAGCTTAACTGCAGCTTCACTCCAGGTTAACTGCATCTTAACTGCAGCTTAACTGCATCTTAACTGCAGCTTAACTGCAGCTTAACTGCAGCTTAACTGCAGCTTAACTGCATCTTAACTACAGCTTAACTGCAGCTTAACTGCAGCTTAACTGCAGCTTAACTGCAGCTTTACTGCAGCTTAACTGCAGCTTTTGCATGTTAAAGTTAAAAGCAGTGAATATATGAGGTTAGCTGATCTCGTGAGCTGAAGCAGCTTAACTGCAGCTTAACTGCAGCTTAACTGCAGCTTAACTGCAGCTTTACTGCAGCTTAACTGCAGCTTAACTGCAGCTTCACTCCAGGTTAACTGCATCTTAACTGCAGCTTAACTGCATCTTAACTGCAGCTTAACTGCAGCTTAACTGCAGCTTAACTGCATCTTAACTGCAGCTTAACTGCAGCTTAACTGCAGCTTAACTGCAGCTTAACTGCATCTTAACTGCAGCTTAACTGCAGCTTAACTGCAGCTTAACTGCATCTTAACTGCAGCTTAACTGCAGCTTAACTGCAGCTTAACTGCAGCTTAACTGCAGCTTAACTGCAGCTTAACTGCAGCTTAACTGCAGCTTAACTGCAGCTTAACTGCAGCTTAACTGCAGCTAAACTGCAAAACAATATCACGAATAGGATCACTCGTCAGCTGTTCAAATCAAGTATAGAAAACTTGTATTCAATGCAAATGAGTTCCTACTAGTTACTAGTTATTTAGTTAGTGTTCAATGCAAATGAGTTCCTAGTTACTAGTTACTTAGTTAGTGTTCCTGGTCCATCTAGCTTATCTAGTTTGCTAGCTCAATTCCCTACAGCATTATCTAGATTGCTAGCTCAATTCCCTACAGCATTATCTAGATTGCTAGCTCAATTCCCTACAGCATTATCTAGATTGCTAGCTCAATTCCCTACAGCATTATCTAGATTCTAGCATTATCTAGATTCTAGCATTATCTAGTTTGCTAGCTCAATTCCCTACAGCATTATCTAGATTCTAGCATTATCTAGATTCTAGCATTATCTAGATTCTAGAAACTGGTTAAATCAACAAATGACAGGCTAAAGCGGTAATTGCACCATAACGTACATCTTGGTGAAGATACTGAACAATGATGACTATCATAATAAATAATGCAATAGTTAACTAATGATTTGATAAAGTAATTGTTATTTGAAACGAGCGACAAATCAGTCTTATTATGCTGAAATATGGAAATAATGAACTTTTCGGTACTGACAAAATTGCATTTACAACGTAAGGGATTATACATTATCGGAATATATGTTGCGACAAAAGACCTACACATTATTAACCTATTAACGTTAATACAATAGTAGTAGTAGTATAAGTATCAACTTTAACAGATAAATGACACTTAGGTTACAACTACAAAGGGAACGAAAAAAAGAAGTGTTTAATAAAGAAAAGAAAGAGATTTGAAAAAACAAAGACACGACCATTATTAACATGGTGAGATAAACCTTCAAATTTTACTGATAACACAAATAAAAAAGATTAAGTTGTGAGAATAACCCGATAAGCTTTTACTTTCGAGACTCGAAGCCTCAATTTGTAATTCGAGAACCGTCCATCACTCATCAGTCATCGTGCGCAATATTTGTGAACGACGAAGCTGTGATATTTTATTAATATATATCATTAGTGATGATGAATATGGCCACATAATGCTTGCCGGGTCATTATATTACGAAAAAGTAAACTAAATTATCAGTAACATTTTGAAACATTACATAATACATGACGAGAGATCAGAGATGAACAGATTTGAATTTTACTACCTAAAAAAACCTACTACTAAATCTCTAGATCGAATAGCTAGACAAGTTGACTACGGCTGCGGAATGTGGACATGAAGCTGAATTATTATTTCACATGACAATCTTTTAAAAAAACTAAGCTTGCAGCAGCCAACTAAAAACTCTAGACTCTAGTCACTTTACGATATGTTATGTTGTGAACACGTATTATACTATGCAAAATATTTGTTGTTAGTGCCATGAGCGTCATAGAGAAGCCAGTATTGAGCTGTCACACTTACCAAGACCATCCTCGTATCACGTGACCATGTATCTATCCAACGCGAAAACGACAAAATAAAATTCAATCTTTTCGACTAAAAATGTGGTCAGCTCGACGGACGAGGTGTACTGACAAGGCTAACGGCAAAGGGTTGTTATACACAGAGTTCGCTGTGAGGTAGGTTGTAGTATATTTAGGAAGAGCATTTTGTCTTTTGATACGTTTTTAGGAAGTAGTTCTCCACTCTGTGGCTAAGTTGTGACGGAAGTCAATACTGCTGCCTAGCAACCTGGTGATGTTGCTAGGAGGTTGTAACGGCGCTTACTGGGGGGAGGCCTTGTGGAAATGATATTAGGGCCAGTTTAAGTTTGTAAATTAATTATTTTATTTAAACATTATAGCTGGACGCTGGTTAGTAAACATTACTGACATTATATGTGTGTGTGTGTTGTTCGAACTTTGAATTCTATTTTTTAACTATCAAATAGGACTACACTAGTCTGTGATCGAG